CCGTGCCAGCCGCCTGGAACTGCAGCCGGAACAGCGGCCCACAGCAGACGAGAATCCACAGCCAAGCTGGATGGAGGCGGGAACCGCGGCACCTTGCCTGAGTCTTGGGGCAGTCACCCTAGCCAGACTGCAGTAACTGAACCGCCCCCCGACGTGGTGAACGAGTTCTCCGGACCCGATGTTTGGCCAAAAACTGTTTCGAACGCTGTTCGGCCTCTAATGTCGGCACGCGCTCCTTTTATCCTGTGCACTCTTCCTTGTGTTTCGCAGTGGTCGCACAGTTTCAGTTCCAAGCACTGCTGTTTTTTTCACCGTTATAGAAAATCGCCCTCATGATCCAATTTCAGGTATGAATTTTCTAAATGCTCACCCGGCCCTTATAGACTGTTCAGCCGGCTGCCTTGGCCTTCAGATGCCTCTACTTTTCCGATCAGACCAACCTACCCCGAAGCCGTCTTTCCTGCATTGATTTCGTACGCCTTCCGCCTGATTGTGTTACACACATCGACCTCTCCTCTGCGCCACCTTTACCTGACGGCGTTACACGGTGGCACCAATTCGTGCCGTGATAATTACGCATGGCGTTGCTGTTCCGCATACGATTTTGACAATTGTTGAAAACCGCACATGCATTCCTATTGCCACTTTTGCCCTCATGCCCAAATTCTTCCCCAAGGTATCTCTCTGGCAGAAATTACTGCCCGAAAAGACCATACGGTTGAGCCCTTCAGAGTGGGTGAATGCTGCACCTCATACAATGACCCAACTCTATTCCGTTCATCAAGCGTCGACGTTGACCGCATGGTAACATAAGACGTCGCTCCTGATCAAGCGGAAGCCCTACATTTCGTCTTGGAGTCATATAGTGACATTTTCCACTTCGCCAGCACGGCCTTAAGCCGAACGAGTGTTGTTACTTATTGCGTCAACACTGGTGACGCAAGTCTCATTCACCGACGTACATACCGTGTTTTCACGTGCGAACGTACAGTCATACAACAGGAAGTCAAAAAGATGCGTGTAAAAGACATAATCGAGTCCTCGTGTAGCCCCTGAGCTTCTCCTGTCGTCCTGATAAGAAAGAAGGATGGTACATATGCCTTTGTGTACTATCGACCTTCAATCTGGCTATTGGCAGATCGCTGTAGACAAAATGGACCGCTAGAAGACTGCATTCGTCCCTCTTAACGGTCTTTATTACTTCAAAGTTATGCCCTTCGGTCTCTGTAATGCGCCGGCCACATTCGAAAGAATGATAGACTCATTGATTCAAGGGTGTAAATGGTCAACCTGCTCATGTTATTTAGTCGACATTATCGTTTTCTCGCCCATATTCGACTCCCATCTCGATAGTTCATCGACAGTTCTTGAATTTTTTTGTCGAGCCGGATTTAAATTGAAAGCTTCGAAACGTCACTTCGCTCGTCGCCAAATAACCGTACTTGGACACTTCGTCGATGCCGTAGGCAGCCCGCCTGGATCTCGGGAAAATTCGCGCTGTCATGGAATTTCCTGTTCCGAAGTCCACAAAGGGCTTTCGCATTTTTGTGGGCTTGTGCTCTAATTTCCGACGCTTTGTTAAGGACTTCGAGATCATTGCACGCCCACTCACAAACCTCCTGAAGAAAGACGCCCCGTTTTTCGGGGGTTCTGATTAAGCCTCATCTTTTTCCCAGCTCACAACCCTCCTTACAACATCGCCGTTTTTAGCTCATTTCGATCCACCAGCTTCAACCGAGGTTCGCACTGACGCTAGTGGGAAAGTCATAGAAGCAATGCAATTAGAACATTCACGTGGACATGACCGTGATATAGCATATGCAAGCCGACTGCTACCTACCACCCAGCGCAACTATTCAATCACGGAGCGTGATTGTCTCGCTGTTTCGTGGGCAGTCACCAAGTTTCGCCCATACTTATACAGGCGTCCATTCCTAGTAGTCACGGATCACCACGCGCACTGCTGGCTTGCCTCACTCAAGGATCCCACAGGACGCCTCGCTCGTTGGTCTCTACGTTCACAAGAATACACGTTTGCCGTAACGTACAAAATAGGGCGGTTGCATCAAGATGCGCATTGTGTATGATGCTACGCTGTGGAAGAAGGCACCCATACTGACACCTTTCTAGACGTTCTGTCTGTGACGCAGCTACTCAACCTTGGCCACGAACAACGCCAGGATGCTTCCCTGCGAACCATCATTAACAAGCTTGAGTCAATGCCTCACGACGCCTCTCTACAAATGTTCCTGTTTAAAGAAGGGATCCTGTATCGCCGTAACCTCGATCCATATGGCCATGACTTACTCTTCGTCATACCAGCACATCTTCGTACGACTGTCCTCAACCAACTTCATGACGCGTGCCCCGCCACGGCGGTCTAGTGGCTAAGGTACTCGGCTGCTGACCCACAGTTCGCGGGACCGAATCCCGGCTGTGGCGGCTGTATTTCCGATGGAGGCGGAAATGTTGTAGACCCGATGATTGATTGATTGATATGTGGGGTTTAACGTCCCAAAACCACTATATGATTATGAGAGATGCCGTAGTGGAGGGCTCCGGAAATTTAGACCACCTGGGGTTCTTTAACGTGCACCCAAATCTGAGCACACGGGCCTACAGCATTTCCGCCTCCATCGCAAATGCAGCCGCCGCAGCCGGGATTCGAACCCGCGCCCTGCGGGTCAGCAGCCGAGTACCTTAGCCACTAGACCACCGCGGCGGGGCTGTTGTAGACCCGTGTGCTCAGATTTTGGTACACGTTAAATAACCCCAGGTGGTCTAAATTTCCGGAGCCCTCCACTACGGCGTCTCTCATAATTATATGGTGGTTTTGGGACGTTAAACCTCACAAATCAATCATATCAAATCAACTTCATGACGCTCCTTTGGCGAGCCTCTTGGGCGTCTCTCGCACATACGACCGTTTACGTCGTCGTTTCTTTTGGCCTGGTATTGCCCGTTTTGTTCGACGCTACGTCGCCGCTTGTGAGCCCTGCCATATCCACAAGAAGCCATCTTCCCTACCAGCTGGATTCCTTCAGTCAATCGACATTCCCGTTAAACCCGTTTTTCGAGTTGGCCTCGACCTGCTTGGCCCATTCCCGATCTCGAGCTCAGGCAACTAATGAATTCGTGTCCGCCACTGACTATGCGACATGGTACGCTATCACACGAGCACCTCCAACGAGCTGCGCAACCAATGTGGCGGACTTTCTGGTATACGATATCATTTTAGTACATGGAGCTCCACGCCAAGTTTACTATGACCGAGACGGGACCGTCCTATCAGCTGTCATTGACGAAATTTGGCGCTCTTGCTCTGCCAAGCACAAGTTTGCCACTTTGTACCATCCGCAAACAAACGGCTTTACAGAGCGCCTCAACCGACATGCTTTCTAAATACGTAGCGGCTGACCACCAGGACTGGTACGTTCATTTGTCATTTGTGACATTCGCATATATTTCGTCGCATCATGACACTACCGGCTATGCGCCATTCCATCTTTTATACGGCCGAAAACCCACTTCACCCTTTGACACCTTGCTGCCCTCATTCACTGAATATGCCAGTGAAGCTATCGCGCGAGCCAACCACGCACGCCAACTCGCTCGCACCCATCTGCAGGCCTTACAGGAGCACCAAAAATAAGCTTTACGATTCCAATGATCGAAACGTGCACTTTTCACCGGATTTTCTTGTCCTTCTCTGGTACCCCACTCAGCATGTAGGTCTTTCTGAAAAGCTGCTGTCATGCCACGCTGGACCACATCACGTCGTTCGCCAGGTGACTGACGTTGCTTATGAAATTGCTCGAGCCGATCCATCGTCATCATCGTCAGCTTCAAGGGACATCGTGCACATAGCTCGACTGAAGTCTTATCACCCTCTTCATACCGCATGCGAGTAGCTCAAGCACCGAGATGGTGCTTTTACCGCCGAAGAGCTTATGATACAGAACAGCCGCCGCAGCCTTGCTGCATGAAAGAGAAATACGACGTCGGTTGCTGGTTGTTCATGAACTGGCACCACCTTGTTCGCTGAGCTAGGTGCATCGCTTATATTTAATAAATGAGTTACTTGTAACATCGTCACATGTGTAAATAAGGGGGGTCAGATTTATACAAAGGAGGAGGGCAGAAGGCACTACTGCTTCACCAGAGACCGTTTAGTTTACTATCGCGAACATGTTCCTTATTGGCGAAAAGCCAGATGCTTTAGCTCATGAGCTCCAGCGTCGCCGAACGGCTAGAAAATTACCACTCTGCACATTCTTCGTATTTCGCCCTGACTGCAAGTAACTTCATACAATTCAAAAGCGAAGCTCTCAGCTATAGTTGGAATATCCAACGTCCCCCACAAACTGTCCACGTTGTGGCTGCATCAGCAGTGTTCAGCATTGTAGACACACTACGCATTTCTTTCAGGGACGCCTCAGCCAGCGCTGCGCGTTAGCGCTGACGCTGAAATTTCGGGGTTCTCGCAAGGTCAGTGACAGGCTCTGGATCGGCTCTGCTTAGTCTGCGCTAAATGAACATCTAGCATCATCCGAGAATTGACCACGTCAAACCGCTAAGATCAATGAGCATCGCTCTCTCTTAAGCTTTACATGGCTAGTTTAGTAAGAAGATAGCAAAAGAGTGCGAGAAGGAACAATGAACGACACAAGAAACTCTACATTGAATGAATAGCTACAGCTGTATAAAAACATCCAAACACCATGGTAGACATTTTTTTTTCATTTCAGTTCATTTGAATTCACACCTTCAGAATACAAGGTTGCTCAAGACCACAATGAGTGTCCTCTATCTCTTCTCGGCCGACGCGGCTGTTGACTTCATCTGGTTCTACTAATGCAAAGTGGCTTTTGTACAACAATCATTACGTTACAGTTACTGCATTCTTTCTTCAAAAAGAACTTTCTATCCAAAAAAATGTGTTCAAACACACCACTTGTGTACTTTTTTCAATCCTCGTTGTCGTGTTGTGATTTTTCTAGCAACTCTATCCAGCGCTGATGAGTTTGAAGCCTCGGCCAGGTCAGGTAAGAGTTCTATGCTAATGCATGTGTGTTATGTTTGATGTTCGAAGAATGCACAACAAGATATCAAAAGCAGCTGCGGAACTCATCTAGGACAGGACACCAGGATTCATAATAACAATATATGCTACACTACAACACAAAGTTACATATTTATTTCTTTGCTGACCTATGTATATTAAAATACTGTGATCTTTATCATGAAGGCTCATATAGGCCCCGATATATCACAAACAAACAAGACTGAAAGAATATATGATTTGAAGTTAACCGCCCTGAAAGCACCTTCTGTGGTCAATATAGTACTGATGTAGCTCTTGCGTTGGTCTCACAGCTGTTCATTGATTGATTGATTGATTGATTGATTGATTGATTGATTGATTGATATGTAGTGTTGAACGTCTCGAAACCGCCACATGATTTTGAGAAACGCCGTATTCGAGGGCTACAGAAATTTCGGCCACCTGCGGTTCTTTAACGTGCACCGAAATCTGACCACGTGGTTCTTTGTCCTTAGTTAAATATTATAGTAGCGTTGTAGTTGCCAAGCCCCGGTGTAGTTCTAAATCTCTTGCTAAATCCTGGGAAATGTTCTGCCCTAATGTCCTTCTTCTATACGTCTGCGTGCAATTCCATAATGTGTAGTTAGGCGAGATCCCCTCTTGTCAAAGCTCAGTGAATGCGTAGCATAAGTAGCACATTGATTGCCGCAACCATAGTGCTCTTGCTGAATTAATGTTGTCGTCTCTTCCGCATGGCGAATATCAGCTAAATTCATCAGAAGCATTTTTTTTGTATTTAAGAAAAACTCTTGAGCTTACCCTCGGTTACAGTTGCAACCCGTATTATTCAAACTTCACTAGCGTATTTTAGCATATGAGGGAAAAGAACCCGTCGAAAGGCAGTGTACAGAGAGTGCGCCACTCAGCTTTGTACGCAAGCACACACCTGCTTGTCGTGTAGGTCAAGCAAATTGCTGCTCGGGACTTCTTACATCTCCCAATTTTAATGCATTTAGGTTTGAGACGCCGCTTCCTATATGCACAGCGCATGCCGCTGGTGGTTGGAGATGACAGTGTGTATCATAATACCGTTGCAATACTTGCAGAGCCAAATTCTCGTTTCCATGAACGGCAGGCCACCGCAACAAATTCATCATTCAGGACGCAAAATCAATGGGAGGATTGGGCAACCGGAACGCCTCTTTCTTACAGTATCGCCATTTTATAGTAGGTGAAGTTTCACCGATGGTTGTGGTACTGGAATGCTGGCCTCAAGGTCATCTGCTTGAAATCCAGCAGTGGTGGCCGCAGTTGAATTACAGCCAGATAGTTCCACGTCGTTATGTAATGTTCCAATACACGTTGAAGGCACGAATGATCAACATTTGTGGAAACCTCAAGTTGCCTCCCTAACCATCATACTACTGCTTTTAGGGCTTCAAACCTAAAATAATACTGATATTCCAGCAAACTTAGTTTCAATGTGGTATGTCAAGTAACGCCAATGCCAACGCGCTGTATCAGATAAGTGATTGCACAACCAGAAGACGACAAAGGCGAGAAAGAGACACTTCAGGAGACATCGGAACGTGCGTTTTCATTTCGTGTTTCATCTGTGGAGCGAAGTTGCAAATCAAGTCATGCTATACAAAGTTGTGACTCTGAAGCAACGCGTGTAATCATAATTTCAAGCGAAACAACGATATTAGGTATACTGCTTTCCGTGCAAAATATCTGTGCGAGTTCTTTTTACATCCACATCGCTCCAGTTTTTCAGCAATAGAAGCCTGTAGTGCGGAAACAGTGAAAAGTGAATTAAATGACATGCACACCAAGTTGATCTATCAAATAGAAAGTCGGGCTATCAAGAGGAGAGAGAAAAAAGGAAAACGGTATAGTAGGGTGCCACAGTCTCTCTATTTTCATTTTTCGCTTCAAGTGTGATGAGCATTCGGACATGAAACAATGCTATAGGAACTTGTGACGTTCCAGGAACACGTCACACCTTTCATTGAAGTTCAATAGGAGAACGTATGTAACCTTGTTTATGGTTTACTAGTGGTTGTTCAGAAAGTGCCATACCATGTGCAGTTCAACAAGCGCGAGATAACGAGCCACTTAAATTCCTTTTTCGTTGTGAATGCCGTCTCTTCAGCCCAAGATGTACAAAATAAAATAAGCGGAATTTGATGATTCGCTAACATAGTGCAAAAAGTAATCAAGGCCAAATATAAAACAGCCAACTGTTTATGTTGGATAAGCAGGCATGTAGACAAGCATCATTTTCCACACTCAAATATTTTGTGTACATGGCCTCACTCATCACATATTTGTAAACACCCTATCAAGTATACTCGTTACCAGCGTATACTGATTAGGTTTAGGAGTATTGAAGAGAGATTTCACTTAAATCTGGTAAGTTGAATTAAACTAGAAATGTTTTAGGCCACATGTGTTCGGTACTCTTATAATAGAAACAGCAGTATAACGTGGCCAGCTATATCAGTTTACTAAAGAAGGTAATTGTGTTTGAACTGCGTGCAGAAGCAGCTCTCATATCAATAATTACTCATCCATTGTCTGTCTTAGAGATTCAATATCACCAGTAACTTGTTCAGTAGAATGCGCGCGAAAATTCGCGCAAGGACAGCAGATATAGCTTAGGCACCCCACGCAACTTCAACCTGCGGTGTTTTCCAACAACAACATTCGATGCTCACTCAATACGTGACGTAAATATTTCTACATTCTTGCTCTTAAACGCAAGTAACTCAGCAAATAAGATTGCACAACACACATCAATAGTTTTCAACACGAATTGCCAACTTCTATTCACATATTAAATGAAAATGATGGAATAAATAGGTTTTGCTGATTCCACGTCTTTAATAGTGCACATACATTCGAGATAACTACAAAAGGTGTTGCTCAAACCTGCAAATACAACTCTTCCGTAAAAGCTATAATTTTTAGGAGTAACATTTAGCTGTATGCACTCGTTTGATATGCCTTCTGTTGATTTTTGTTCTGTCCTCATTTCAGCCTGGGTCACCTCAGAATCCTGGAACTATCATACCTGGTCCAACTCAGGTATGTGTTTCATTCTATTAAGTATAGGCTCATATATATATATATATATATATATATATATATATATATATATATATATATATATATATATATATATATATATATATTTATATATATACAGATAACGTCTATACCTAAGGGCTTGTTTTTGCAAGTCTGACACATAATAATGACATCTAACAGACAATATGTACAGGGGACGTTATTAGACGGAATTGTAATATAACTGTTAAAAAGAAAAGTGGGTGAAACGTTCACTAGCCGTGGACAGGAACCGAACTTGCGACCTTCGAATAACGTGTTCGATGCTCTACTAACTGAGCTACCACGGTGGCTATACCCCCAGTCATTTTATTGGATACACACGTGAAATAAACTTGGGAGTGTCAATTTTTAGTTAATCAGTGGTCAATCATGAGTAGTTCCGCTGAAACAACGTGGTTGCGCTGATGAAGAAGTTCTCACCCACTTCGATCGGAAAATCTGATTTCTGCTCGGCTAAGGCTAAGAAGTCCAGAAAAAAACTGTGGAATCATTCGTGCTCTCCAAATCATTTTAGGTCGACGACGAAGTATGTTTACTTCTTTGTACATTTTAGTGAAATGAACTGTTTCTTCGGCCCCATCCATTCAACCTTGTCCTCCAGAACAAAAAAAAAAACTCTTCGAAACAGTGCCTTATAGAGACACATTGCTTTATCATGTGTGCTTATCATGTGTGCTTTATCGTTGCTTTATATGTGTCAGAACACAAATATAACAAAGTTTAGGATACGTTTACCTACTAAGATACACAGACCTAATAGAGATGACTAAGAATTTCAATATTTGCGATGGAAGAAATGAGCGTTTATGGGTGTCTTCATGTTCGTGTTTTTTTTCCTTCAGTGTTGCCCAAGCAGCCGAAAGCTAAGAGCATGTATAGAAGCTGACGCTTAAGTGCAGATGGGAGTGGCGTGTAATCAAGGGGCGTAGATAAAGACGTCCATTTTCATTCGTAATATTGCCTAAGCAAATCCGTTGCCTCCACAGTGCTGCAAATAGCTGAAAGAGTGGAAACAGTAATTGGCGTCATCTTCTATTTTCAGGTGATGTTCTAGATGAAAAAGGCAATCTTGAACACAATAGACTGAACTAAGTAGCCTAACAACTGAGTAATTTTGCTGAAATATTCATCTACAAATGCGGTTGCGAAGTTTTCTCTATAAATTCCATTAGGGCAGCACTTTAGTGAGCGCAGAAACAAAGGGCTAGACTTGGCAAAAAGCCACGTTTCAGTAATTTGAAGTGGTACACTGCGTACATTTTTATCGACTGCTCTTCCACAGCTAAGTGCTGATGGTACGGCCACCTGAAATTTCCACTCTCATCCACCACCTGATGTTCTTGAAACACTCGAGCAATGCACTTTCGAGTACACACGAAAATGTCTGATTGTGTGCACGCTTGAGCCGTTCACTGCCGCATTAATAAAAAATCATGTGCTATCCGCTCCCAAAAAAAGCGCTGCGCATCTTGAAATTGTAGCAAAGTCCGCGCCTTGATTAACGCATGTTCGGTGCCACTAAAGCGACTCAAGAAAGGCTTGATCTAGAAGCTGCACCCATAAGTGCCTGAAAGTAGGCGCTTGAACGAGATGGTCCTTGTTTAATCAAGCGAAGCGCCAGGTCAAACCGAGGAAGAAGAAGCGCTTCCTTCTACGGGCAAGTCCGTACTCATGGGCACTTGCAGCCAGAAATCAATCAAAACAGCTGAAAATAAATGTTGGTCGTAATGTTTAAACCTCACTTCTTACCAGTGAACCGTATGCCATTTTAAACAGCCCTTGCATGGAGATGTTGCAATTGTGGTGGTCCGGTTATACTGGAGCCGTTGGGCGCCTGCTGTCCTCGTAACGCCTAAAACAACGCGTTTTGACTTTGCGCGGACTATTGAAGCTTAGACAACATGCAGTTTGGGAGGCTCACCCGTTTTCCACGATTGAATAAATAGTGTAAAATTTGACTATTTATGAGTATGTCCGCTCATTTTCTTTCGTTGTTTGTTACACACGAGGTGCTGCCAAGTGACACAAAGATCCTCTGAGTACGTGCACATTCTGTTCGGATGCTGAACTCCGCGAGTTCTTGCAAAACTTAATGGGTAATGTTTTTGTTGGAATGCAGTGCAACTTAACATAGGCATACGAGGTGCTACTTTCATAATTTCACGCAGTTGTCAGGTTCTTGGGAAATTCAAAACTTCAGGAAACAGTTCCGAAAAATAAAGTGTAACTAATGCGCTGAATGGTCAAGTGACTTGGTTCTACTCTAGGCGATGGTTTGCCTCATTTCATTGAGGACGAGTTCCACAGCATTCAATACTATATTGTTCCTCACTTGACAATAATTGTTTACAGCTCTGAGTAGAAGTGAAAAATAACGCGTTCAATCATTCTGAAGAAGAGCAGAATTGATTTCGGGGAACCTTCGCTGAAGCGTTACTGAATAGGACACAGGTGAGGAAAATTTTGTCACTGTTAAATTCTTAAGAAAGGAAGCAAAATAGGGGGAAAAGAATGCCAGGGAGGTTAACAGCCTATAGGCAGCCGGTTCGCTACCCTGCGCAGAGGAGCGGAATGCGGGAAATGAAAGATAAAGAAAAGAGGGTGCAGAGAGATTAACACAGCACATTAGGCAGCACGCTAAGTCACAGTGCTAAATTCTCAAACTTTTTAAAGTACATATATGATGTTACGAGTAGGTGCCTGTCGTATTTCGCTTTTTTTGATTGTCATACTCTCCCCTTTTCAGAAATGGTTGGCCTCGGTGTTCTTTAAGGGCTTACTTCCTGCAGCATTGGCAAGTCTTTATTTTGCAACGTCAATTATCATCGATGTTAAAATAATATACTTTATGAAGTATATTCCTAACATTTTGGTATATTTAGCATACATCATGACATTTATTATGCGCCACTGCATAAATATGCACCTGTGCGAAACAAAAGACGACAAAAGAGCTCTGACGACTACCCTGCATAATATATCACAATTCAATGTCTATGCTGCTCAAAATAAGGAGCGTCTTTTTCGCTTTACCAACAGAACTGTTGGCTAATTCATAACTTCTTTGCGCAAACACGTACACGGACACAAGGAAAAGAGGCAAACAACACGGGCGCAAACTCACAACTGGTTTATTTTGAACAACGAACTGTACTTACATCTTCACGTAGCCCTCACACCCCCCCAACGGTGGATCCAGGAACAAACGAGATAACCTAAAGAAAGCTTATTCAGCGCTACGTCAAAATAAGAACCACAAAACAACAAAAAATTGAAAAGTTCACGCATCTGCAGACGGATTGTAGCACGTGCCTTTTTTTTGTGGGCTACGTGAAGTACAGTTCGTTGTTCAAAATAAACCAGTTGTGAGTTTGCGCCCGTGTTGTTTGCCTGTTTTCCTTGTGTCCGTGTACGTGTTTGCGCAAAGAAGTTATGAATGAGTACCAACTCGCCCAACTTTCAGTTCTGTTGGCTAACCCTCACACCAGTTCATTTTGTTTTATTAAACTCAATGATAACGCAAGAACTACACCGATTTTACCTAGAATTACCCGTTTATATGGAAAAATTTCATGAACACGCAAACTGCATGATTTATCTATGGCATTACACTACGAAAAGTAATTTCATAAGCCATCACACGGCCATATGCCTATGCTCTGTATCCCTATAGAAACTTAGATAGCTGGTGATAAAGAGTGGAACTTATTTTTACTACTAGTCATTGGGGCTGCTTGTTATGTTTAACACTGGTGTTATAGGGTGGTGGCGAAGGCTTAAAGCCAAGGTTATGTCGGCATTACCTTACCTGACAGAATATATGATGACTTAACACACATGATGCTCGTTTGATCAGTACAAATACTGGCTCTTCACAGGACTGTCTTTCTCATGGCTCATGTGCTTTGCGCAATGCATAAGTAACTTATTGATGCGCCAAATTGAGCCGTCTTTTCCAACGTCCTACTGGCGAGCTCTATCGTGCCCATTATCAATTTTATAGAGCTTGTGGCTAGCATCGTGAAACCCAAAATTCTTTCCTAAAAGTGGACGTGTTATTGCTTACTGAATCGCCTAAGCATGTGTTCATTCTCGACGGGCCTTCGCAGCCAGTAGCACGTACAAGAATGTCTGAAGCACAGCTTGGGCACAACGAGCAGTCTGGCCCAGATATTTGGCTGAGAAGTTGTTTCTCTGGCTACTCCCGCCCTTTGCTTGGGGCTCGCACCAGGCAGCAGTGTTCAGCCCACATTTGCGGCCTAACGATAATTTGCTCTCATCTCTCTGCAATGTGGATGCAATGCTGGCAAGCCTTCTAGTCGTTGAAAAGCCTTGATTCTATTACGACTGACAAGTGTGAGAAGAGGCGACCCCACCAAACAGAACGCGACCAACGCGACAACAATGTACAACGGGGTCTTGCGACAACCAGAAAGCTGAGGAAGATTACCACGGATGCGCTACCAAAGATGACATTATACTTATAAAGAATAGAAAAATATTTAGTACGATGTGGAAGAGAACACGGACGGTTACCTACATGCAGAAATGCTGCGCCGAGGTGCCGTCAGTAGGTGACGAGGCTGCGGGGAGCGTAAGCGGCGAGTAGTACACAGAATAAGATTAGAAGATTGGTGATAAAGCAGCCATGGAGTCACGGATTGACACAGGTGTGGTTGCTGAGGACAGTGGAGATGATGAAGCAACAAGGCGTAAAAACTGGCCGGAAACTCCGTAGGAGCAGCCGAAGTGTGAAAGGTATGAAGAGAAGCGAAAAGTTGAGAATTACGAGGAAAGCGACACTGCACCTCACGATATCAATCGTATAGAAAAGATAATGCCGGTGATGCTGACGTCGCTTATGACAGGAATATGACACCTCAGGTGAAATTAGAGTGCGTGACGTAAAACCGAGAGCTGAAGTGGCTGCCGCTCCATCGGAAGGAGGTTGAAATACTGGGGGAACTGCTATGGAGTTACAGAGGATAGCATCGTGAGGAAAAGCAAAGAAGTGGACACGTGTCACAACACTGACTTTTATAGGCTTGGTCGTCATGCTCCGTGATTGTCTATCGCTATGGTTACTTCCTTGATGACGATTACGCTGATGACGACAAAAAATAAGCACGTTACAAAGCACACACTCTTTTTTTGCCGTCACGGCACAGCGCATACAGGTTACCCACTTTTCGTCAAGGCAACGATGATGACCAGGAAGTACCCACTACGTGATAATGTCATTGATAATTCTGCTGATAGAAGGCGCACTCACTACGCATGTCTAAGACTTTATGTGTCCTCCGTAAGACTATACGTGTCGATTAACATGCCTCTAGCATAGCTTGAAACAAGCGTCCCACCAGTATTAAGGGCATCGCCTTCTCAACTTCGTACTACATTCTACAATTCAAAACCCTCTGTCTGGTTTTACACAAACGTGTTCGAAACGCGCTGTGTTTAACACTGCCAAGGCAGCACAAACGTGTTCTATACTCGATGTCTTTTGGCTGTAAGCAATGTTACACGAGAGCCCTTGAATCTCGTGCCACATCTTTGTACGATGATAATCGAGCCCATTTACAAAGCATTCAAGGTTTACCGGATTCAATATCTGGAGCAAGCTGCGTCATTATTGTTGGCATCGTGGATGTGTGCATTTCGCCTGATTTTTATTGAATAAAACTAGAGTAGTGACCATCAACTGAGTACTAGGTTTGAAACACATGTTACAGCGCTTATCCGTGTGCCCTTCTCTTCGTCCGTGTTCGTGGCACTGTTAGCCACAGTGTATTTGGAGCTTGAAATGCTTCAAAAGAAGAGTCATTGAATAAACAGTGGTAGTGCTAGTAGCACAGCAGGAGGTGGAAGTAGTGCTACACCAGCCCTTCAACTTTGGCACGCACTCTCACTCTAATAACGGTTACCACCAGGAGCGTCAGGAGCGTACACCGAGGTGATTCGTGTGGGTAAAGCTACCAACCCGCTAAGTTTAAGGAGTGAACTGTAGACACCAAACAGAAAGGAGTGAACACGAACAGGATATTTATACCATCATCAATATAACTACAAGTATTTAAATTGACTCGCATACAGTGGTTAGATGGTCTTTCCAGTGCATTTTTAGCTGTATTGCCATAGTCCACCCTTTCTTACGTCATTCTACGCTGCTCGCACATAAGTCGTCGTCGTCGTGATGGTTCGACCTGTGGATTCGCTCTATTATGCTACGATGAAGATTGGTCGCCGTGGAACACATTGATATGACGTCTTCTTCGCTGTACTCTCGAATACCAGCACTTCAAGCTTGCTGCGCCCCAAAACTGACAAAAACCTACATAAGAAGCCACTCTATCAATAAGTCGAGCCAGCTTGTCACAGATTCCTAGCTTTCCAGGAAAGTAGTTTTTGCCGACCACAGCACGGAGCTATCTGACATTCTATGCCAATGAAAATAAGCATATAGTCATGTCCCCAGGAAGCTGGTAAGTCGAAGCTTATCAGCAGGCTCATCCATGAAGAGGACTGGCACCGTAATTGTCGGGTAGCCGTCACTTCTGCTCCTCATGCAGGCCTTTTGTAAGTTTCATGCGCTGCTGTTTCACTGCTCAATTTCATCGTTAATCGTGTCGCATTCTCGGGCTTTCTACGAGCAGCACCGGCACGCAAGACAAGGTCACACTGTTACTCTCCCGTAGCTTTTCAGCATGCATTTTACATTCTCCCCGAGTCGTCACAACACTTGGCGCTGGAAACATAGCGGGACCACGTAGATAGAAGCAGTGACTGATCAAGTGAATCTGACGATAATTATCAGTCCACCACAACCTTCGGCTGGACCTGGCAAAAAGGCTGGGCACCGCATTCAGACCCTTATCAATGGCAGTGAACAAAGCCACCGGAAAGAAGTAGGACGTCATTAGGTCACCGAGGAGGGGTTTGGAATGGCTGCGACAATGGTCGGTACGTGGGCAGGTCACATGGCCTCGGCAACTTCAGTTCTAGGCCACTCATTCACTCAAAAAGCAAAGCTCCGGTGGCAGTGTCTAGCTCACCACAAGGGTGCGTCGGCGGTTTTCATTCCCCGCTCAGGTGAAGAGTAAAAGAAAATATTTTGTGTCCTCTAGCAGTAACACCTTCCTAAGAGAGCCAGCAATAAATATTAGGAACCGACGGGCCGTGCTCCAACGTGTACCCACACCTGTCCCTTATTTGATGCCCGTACGCCCTTGTCAGTGAAAAAGAGTGGAAGAGTGTTGGGGCGTCTGGCCGCGGCCAGGAACCTTAGAACTGAATGAAGACCAGCCTGGGACACACTCACACAAGGCGCGCTCACGATCGCCAGGACAGAGCGGTTTTGAGTCTAGATATTAGACAAGATAAGTTCTCGCTCTCCCCGTTGCCATGTTGAAGACTCCAGCTAGCCGGCAATCTTCAATTGTAAATAAGCAAACCAAACAAATTTCAAGCAGACAAAGAAAGGTGACTACCAAACATCCTTTACATGGTCAATGTTTACCATAAAAGTGCTGGCTTTTAGAAGTCTGCCCAAATGTAGCAGTGATATTTTTGAAATTGCCTAGTAAATCAGCATTGACATCGCATCCTCAGACAGTTTGCAACATTGAAATGTGTGAGAAAGTGAAAAATTTTACGTAGAGGCGGTGTGGGTGTGGAACCTTTAGCAGCTGTTACACTCTTCTGGGACAAGAAGGTGGAAGGTGGGGTGCGCTCAGAAAAGACTATCAAGATGCATCAGTAAGGGCATGAATTCCTCATACTTCAAATTGTGGCAGACTCAAAGTATCATTCGAGCACTTCAAAAGAAGCTTTTCTTAGTCTCACTTTGTAGTGGTGGCTGCGGGATAGCTCCCTTAAAACTAAATTGCTAAATGCCTCTGTACACAAATGTTGCCCCTGAAAGTGTGCTCTTCATATATATGGTTATATACAATATGTTCGATTGAATAATGCAGTCATAGTCGCAGGCTCATTACTATATTATCAGCGTAACATGAAAGTAATGCTCACTCCTCGAACGCATTATTTTTGTGAGTCAAGCTCAAGTAGCTTCGTTTTCTCGTTCTCTATTGTTAGCAAATCATTCTTAAATGCTGCGATGGTACAGACCTGAAATATTGTTGCCATCAATGTGATCTCTCCTTAACGCAGAGACATATTACTTTTTGTAACAGGTATTTTATGTTCGTTCACGTGATATCAAGCCATATTTTGTCGCGATGACCATCAGTTGTAATGCCTAATGACCAGAGTTTTATACAAATCCAAACATTCGCGAAAACAGCCTAAAGAAGGTACCTATCAACTTGATATACCCCAATGTATCACATTTATTTAGCTGTGCGCTTTTCTACGTTCGGCGAAATATTGCGAGAAAACTCCTCATGCTGGCGCCTAGAGACCTTATAACTGCTTTTATATTCTCATTCTGTCGTTGGTGTCCTTAGGACTTATGTTATCGTTTACTGACTTGTCTGCTCAATTATTTGTTTCGGCGTTGCAAGTTCTAAACGACGAGAAGAAGAGTGCCACGTTGACCGAGGTGATTGAGTCAGTTGAATTTAGTGTGCAGCGTGACTACCCTTACTGCGCATGCGCAACGGCTGGCCAAAGCAACTCCCAGAACGCGCTCACGCGCGTGCGCGTGCCGGTTTGTGCAAGAACTTGGAAATACGCTTCAGGCTCTCCCCCATACACTTTTCCAGCAGTCACATGATGGTGTCGGGGGACGATATTCTGGCGGCACCTGATGAACCCACGTGCTCTCGAGTAATTTGGCGATGAACCTGCGTGGCGTGCTCCAACAATAGTTCGGGACGAGTTCCAGCAACAGTAACTACAGTGAATATATGGTGTGCTCCACATGCAAGGGCGTGTTAACATCAGGGAGGTTGACTGAGATGAACGCAACTTTATGTCGACCCATGCGCTGCTTCGCAAGCCACTCATAGCTTCCTTTAGTGGGAGATATTGTAATTGATATTAGTAGACAACTTTAAATTAGCCAACTTATGTTTTCATGTTTTAGTTGTATAGACAATATGTTGCGTGTAAATCATTGATCTCCGATGTGATCCAAGACTCTGTAATGTAAGCAGTAAACATTTGCATAGCCCTTGTGACGACGCTATATTGTTTTCTGCATTTTTTTTTCACCGTTGCTACAGTTGAGACGAGAGAACCAGGTTTGCAGCAAACGCACCATCTGCCGAGAAGGAACGTGTTGCCTGGAAACCTCCCACCGACATAGAACATGTAGACCCCTGGGAAAACGTGGTGACCGCTGTTCAGAACCAGCTTTAGCGGTTGTGTATTTTGGCTATTGCCCCTGTGGTGTACATGAAGGTATGGTACATTTCGTATTATTGTAAGCAACATGCCCGAGGTTCTCTTGTCATTTTGTTCTACGTAGTTTTATATAAACAACCAACTAAAGTATCCTAACACCCAGTCTTAACAACCCACTCGGAAAGCATTTCGCCATCTCGCTTTTTCACGTCTCAAGTACATGTTCCTTAAATGTCCAGATCAAATTTTAATGATTTATGTCAAGTATTCCACACTAAAACGTCTGCCTCCAATAAAAACTCATGTTACCTGTATCTGAACCTCTGAGACACGACTTTTATTTTTGAATAACGTGCAGCAGCAGCAAAAGGACCAAAATTGTGCGACAGATATTTGCATTTGATTTATTTACTTGATGCTCAATGTCAAATCTGACTAATTATAGCGGGTGAGCTTTCAAGGCGCATACTGAAAATAGTTTTGTATAGGCAGCCAGATCTGACATATCGATTTACAAAATTGCAAATGCGACATAAATGGTTGTTTTGATGTCTTTCTTACTTCGAAGCCGACACGTTCCATTTGAACTGTCTTAACTGTAGTGTGATGCTGGTCGATGACAATGAAGCAAGGCATATACGAGGCCAGAGACAAAAGAATTATACGGTCTTCTACTCCCCGTCACCTTGCCATGTATGTTTCTAAAGTCAGAAAACTGGCCTTCAGCACATGAATCCACGTCTTTGTACCACAGTACTCTGTCACGTATTTGGTGTGCCGGAAAAAACGTCTTGGATGGCTGTTACTTCAGGTTTTATAAAAATTTCTTAACAATCTGTATCGCCCTTATATACTTAATAATTCACAGTCTTTCAGATGACAGGCATATTTTGCTTTTATTGAAATGCGAATAAATTATATTTGTACAGTACCAATCACTACGACTATTTTAGCACTTCGACGTATCTTCTGCACCTGCCAGTTAATAGGAAATTTTCCTACTCCTTTGCTTAGTCTTCTAAAAGTGCTTATTTGTCCTCAGTAAAGTACGAAAATTAGAAAGTGCTTGTAAACGCGTAAAACAAAGAATTCAGTGTTGAAGGTAACGAGACAGAGCCAAATAACTTCATGCCTTAAGAGAAGAAGTCTTGTTTTGTCTTGTCTCTTAGGAGATCTTGGCTCATACCCACATGGGGGATTGGCCACACTGTACCTAATAATAGATATTTTTTTACAACGCTTGCTAAAAAAATAAAGAGAAAGTAGATAGGAACAATAATAATGTTCGTTTGAAAAAACGTGAAAAATTGCAGAAGAATGCGATAAACCAGAATATATAAAACAAATTAACAAGAATGAGGAAGGGGGAGAAAGAATTGAATATATCTAGCAGTACCACTAGCAGCGTATCCTTCCGGTTGGCTGAAGAATTTATGTAGCGCTGACAGAATAGCACTGTGGCCCACACCCATCTGACTAGCTCCAAACGATAATAGGGTGGATGTATTGACTGGCAATCCGAGCATACCAATCGGTCTTTCAAGAATTATTCGGCGCAGTGAGGCGAAGCGGCGGCATGTGAGAAGAAAGTTATCTATTGTTTCCGGTTCATTGCAAACTACACATAGGTTAGGTAATGAAAATCCTGATTTGTTGAGATAAAAATTTAACAGAGGAACCCTACAGCGAAAGCTTGTGAGGGTCACCTCACATTGACGGGAAAAGCATTTTGCGGTGTTCCATGTGAATTGCAAGTGCCGAAATTCTTCAGATTGTAGAAGCGACGTTTCATTGATTTTTAAGATTAACAGGCGTTTGAATCATTCGGCAGTAATAAAAGGAAACTGCGGAGCTACTAGCACCACCGGGAAATTCGAAGATGCCTAAGCGAGCGAATCAGCAATTTCATTTAGTTCAATTCCAGGATGCCCGGGGACCCAAATAAACCGAACTTCTGATAGGCTATGCGTTACGAGAGAACAAAATATCTTGAGAAGAGGAGACTTCTTTGCGGACGTTAGATGTGTACATACTGACAAAGCATCCAAAATAATAATAGCTTTTGATTGCTGATAATTTAGTTTTCGAAGAGCCAATGTAATAGCCTGGAATTCTGCGGGATAAATTGGTGTGAAGTCAGGCAATCGGAGCGCAAAAGACCAATTAAGCTGATGAGAAAAAATACCTACTCCAGCCTTCTGAAGATTTTGCGTTGCGTCCGTCGAAATTACTACGTATTTAGGAAAATGACTGAGATGGTCTTGAAGGAGGCCCTCCGAAACATGCTTTGGAAGTAACTTGGCATTTTCCGGAAAAATATCATCGAAAATGAAGTCAACTGGCATCGAGCATTGGGTTTGGGGAGTTAATTGCCGGAGGGAAACGTGAAGATTTGATAACAGAGACTCGACGAAAATGACTTGGGGTCTTTGATAACGAAACCATGGGCGCTGAAAGAAAGAAACTCGATGTTTGATGAAAACTGTCTGTGAACAGAAGAGGGGCGCATAGTAAAGTTTTAAAAATGTTTGCACAGTAAGCTGTCGAAATCTAGCATCAAGTGGAATGATTCTACCTTCCAAATAAAGCACGCTATTCACGACACATCTAGGTAGCCCAAGACACAGCCGCAGAGCTTGCCTTTTTAGCAATATAAGAGGTCTTAATTTGTACTCACCACTTCCAGAAAACAGAACGCAGCCAAACTCCAGAATTGGGCACACGCAAAGTTTGTATATCATAAGTAACGTATCCCTGCGCATCCCTGAATTCTTATTGCAAAACCGGCGGAGCAATCCTACGGCGCTTCCTGCTTTACGGGTGATTGATTCTATTTGTTGCTGCCAATTTAAATTGTCAACGTAAACAATACCAAAAAATTTAGCGCTGTTACTTGTGGAATCGGATCATTTCGATAATGCAGTGAAAGAAATACGGGAACGGATAGAGGGAATACAAGCAGAGCACATTTGCTAACTTTAAGTGAAAAAGACAGCCCGCCAAGTCATACCTCAAGCTCACTCTAATATGACTGTAAGATTTGATATAAACTATTGATATCTCCGGATGAGTAGAAAAAAGCAATATCATCGGCGTAGACGTAAAGAGGAACATTTTCATGAACGGGAATAGATGATAATAATATATTAAATAAAAGAGGTGACAGGACTGATCCTTGCGGAACACCTCTTACTTGCTTATATGAGGCAGAAGTAATTTCCTTGTGGCAACAAAAGAATTGTCTCTCAAAGAAAAACTCCTGAACCCAAGATATAATGTACTTGGGAACCTCACAGTCTACTAATCTTGAAATTATTGTACTGTATTCCACACTATCGTGGGCTTTTGCGATATCTAATGTGACTAATGCAGAAAGCTCACCAGATACTTTTGCAAGGCGAATTCGGCTTTCCAAATCAACATAAGCCGACCATATAGAGCACCCCTGTCTAAATCATGCTTGCCTTGGTGAAAGGATGTCCTGACGAGCGATGAATTCACTTAGCCTTCTATGAAGAATTCTTTCAAATATTTTAACTAGGTTTGAAGTAAGCGAAATTGGCCGAATGTTATCCAGGACATATCCGAGGCATGGATTTTTTTGCAGCAACACAAATTTAGCAATTTTTCATGCGCTTAGAATGCATGTGTGCTGTAAGGAGCATATAACAATATTCAAAAGCTCCTCGGGATGGGAACTAAATATCAATTTAATCATAGAGTTTGTAATCTGATCTCGACCGGGAGCCGCTTGCTCGTTTTCACCAAAAAACTGCACTGTTGCATTCATTATTTTTCTTTACTTAATTTTATTTGCGGATACTGTCAGCTCCTACATAGGGCTATTACAGGAGTGGAAAAAGAAGTACGTGAAAACATAAAGATTTCTCTGAAAAACAGAACAGTTACCAAATAGAATCAGAAGTAACAAGTTAGAAGACAAGAATGAAGTAATCAAAAAAGGAAAAAAAAACCTAACCAAGAAGCAACCATTCTGGTTTATCGAATTCTTCTGCACTTTTACACTTTTTTCAAATGAGCATTACTGTTGTTCATATGTGATTTCTCTGTTTTTTAACAAGCGTTGTTTAAAAAATTTTCATGATAAGGTACAGTGTGGCCAGTCCCCCTTGTGGGTATGAGACAAGATCTAGGTGACAAGACAAGGCTTAACCATTAAATGCGTTAGAGCATGCAGAAACAAATAAAGCATTAATAATTACAAAGAAGAATATGTGCTACGTGTTTAAAAATATCTATGGATGAGCATGAAACGGCTTCATGGATCAGCGAATTCCATTCATTAAAAGCTCTTGGGAAAAAGCTAAACTTAAAACGATCAGTAGATACAGCAGGTGCAGAAATGAACATTGATTGACGTTGTCTTGAAGTTTCAGTAAGAAAAATGTTGAAATGTTCAGCATACCTTATCTGAACACGGTCATTATTAATGAGTAAACATACGATTTTCGTATGTTTGAATTATGTGTAGCTCCACCAGTACACACAGTTGATAGGGGGGATCTCTCCACCGATAGTTAATAAATATAGACTAAACTGCTAAATGCTCAATTTTTTCGATTTTTTATATGTCTGTAATTGTGAATGGATCCCAGACAATTTGTTAGTATTCAATTATTGGTCTAATAAGGATTTTGTTTCTTGTGTCGCAAACCGCAAATGGCATCTAAGACTCCATAGCTCCCTAGTGGCTTTTGAGTACACATAGTTTATGTGATGATTGGAGAGAAGATCAATAGTAAAATTCAAACCAAGGTACTTACGTTGTTCAACTCTTTTTAGTTCGTGATTATCATATTGATAAGTACAATTTAGTAATTTTTCTTCTTAGTGAATGTGATAAATACTCTTTTAGGGGGTTCAGCACCATTTGCCATTGATGACACCATTTTTTTATTTTTTGAGAATTTTTGAGTAATTTCATCTGGTCACCTCATGTTTTGACTTTAATGTATATGCTGCAATAGTCTGCAAATAGCCTAATAGAAACGTCAATTTCATTCAGAAGCTCATTCATAAATAAAAGAAACAAAAGT